ATTTGGGAGGCAGAGGTAGGAGAAGCTCTGTGAGTTTGAGGCCAGCCTGGTCTACAAAACACATTCCAGGACAGCCACGACTGTTAACCAGAGAAATCCTGTCTCGAAAAACGAAAGGAAAAAAAAAGCCTTTATAATTTTTGTTATAATATGGACAAGAAGTTCTTAGATTCATGAGACTTCATTTTTTAAGGAAAACAGGAGACAATAAAGAATAATAAATATTATAAGTAGTACATAATATCATAAGTATAACTTGAAGATAGTATATTTGGCAGAAAACAATGAGCAACAATTTAGGCAGTGACTGATAACTTGAGTACTAAGGCTGAGTAATTGGTCTCTTCTAGAGTGTTCCATTTTCCTGGGTAAACTGAGTAAATAATTCTTGTTATTATGCAGAGAAAAGACACCAGCAAAGGGAAAGGGTCATATACAGAGAATAAATCTGGTGGACTGAAGGACTTCACAGCCAGAAACCACGGGGCACAAGGGAGGGAGAAGAGTGGAAGATGAAAAAGAGAAGAAGCAGCATCTGGCTCTAGGAGAGCTTGAAACCTAAGCTGGGCATTCGGATTTTTTAAAACTGCTAGTGCAAACATCTAGGGTTTGAAGCAGGAAATTGTCTGATTCTTTTCAATTCCTCCTTGTTAAGTTATCCCAGATTAACAGACTCATGGATCTCTTTAAAGGCCTAGCTCATTTACCATCATATTCATGGAAAAGCATTCTGAAATACTGGGTGGGTATTGGGTGGTCCTGGGACTCCCTAGCTATCCTGGGGGGCCAGTTCTTCACTTGGTTTCCATTTCTGTCAAGGATGATCTAAGGCACTGGCTGGAATTCACACGTTTTTTTTTTGTCTTCTGACAAGATGGACAGTGTAAGGCTGGGGGCGTGGCTCAGTGGCTCAGTGGTAGAGTACCTGAGTAACCTATTTGAGGTCTGTCGTCACTCTCCAGCACAGCAAAGGACACTGGTAGGTCAGCAGCATGGGCAGGTACAGTCAGATATGATGGAGTCTCTACCTTTGTGATCCTTTCTCCCTTTCTTATTTTTGAATTTGATGTGGGTCAGTTACAAAATGGCAGCTTCACAGAGAAAAGTTCAAGCTGTTCTTACAAGGGTCAGCTTTGTCTTAATGTTCAAGAAAGTTGCATCTGGGGGCTGGAGAGATGGCTCAGAGGTTAAGAGCACCGACTGCTCTTCCAGAGGTCCTGAGTTCAATTCCCAGCAACCACATGGTGGCTCACAACCATCTGTAATGAGATCTGGAGCCCTCTTCTGTATACATAATAAATAAATAAATCTTTAAAAAAAAAAAAAGAAAGAAAGAAAGTTGCATCTGTGTGGAAGAGGTCTTGTTTTCTGGAAATCCCCGAGGCCAGGAGTGTCAGACTGAGTGATCTGTATCAAGGACCTTGCAAGATGCTTGAGTCAGGTTTGTGGCTACCTGGCTACTGTGAATCTTACAGTCACAGTATTTCTCAGACTGCATACTTTAGTTTTTTAGCTTACCAAGTGTCTTCTCTATTCTCGATTTCCCTATCTCTGCATTTCTCTCTTGTAAAAATGCATAGTGTATACTTCTACAGTTCCTTCTTCTACTACACGAATATCTCGTTTTCCAACTTATCTTTTCTCCTCAAGTATTAATTCTTTTGGTGTTGTTTTAAAATGGTAAGTGACACTGGTTACCATGTGGAAAGGTCATGAGGCACGAGCCACAACAAAACCCAGGATCATAGCTTTATTGGGGGTGGGGGCACAAAAGAACCAGGCCTGGGGAAGAAGCACGTGGAGAGAACAGAGAGAGAGAGAGACAGAGAGACACAGAGAGAGACAGATAGAGGTAATGGAGGGAAGAGAGACAGAAAGGGGGGGAGTTGTCTGTGCCTTTTTAAGGATTCCCGTGAGCATGCCCAGGTGGGCTTATGGAGCTACGCCATGCATGCACTGATTGCATGTCCACAGCATACACGTATTCACCATCACACACTGATGACGTAAGATGCATGACTCCTTGCTTAACTGCTGAACTGTGCATGTGTGGTCATGCAGCTGGAGTGGCGGCAGAATCCTAACATTCGGAGTAGGCTTGTGATTCATTAATCTTCTCGTACACACAGACACACAGGTTATAGAGCAGTGCATTGCTCACAATAATGCTAAGTAAACAAGTTTGGAATGCACAGATGAGTTCTGGAATTATCCTTGAACTGTCCTTCTCATCCTAACCTTTCTATTGAATGCTGATCTCCTGGGTTTTTTTTTGTTTGTTTGTTTGTTTTTGGTTTTCGTTTTCGTTTTTTGAGACAGGGTTTCTCTGTGTAGCTTTGTGCCTTTCCTGGAACTCACTCTGTAGCCCAAGCTGGCTTCGAACTCACAGAGATGCGCCTGGCTCTGCCTCCCGATTGCTGGGATTAAAGGCATATGCCACTGCAGCCTGGCCAATATCAATCATTTTCAATGACACATACATCTTATTCATAAACCTATGTTTTGGTCCACTTTTAACGTATTTCTGCACACTGAATGCATGTTAGACAAGCCATTCTTCTCCATACAACCTTATTTAATGTTCCATAAACTAAATGAGACAATATTTTTGTATGTGTTTTACAGATAAGTAAATGGAAATTTAGTTACAACAGGTTGTATATTTTAAGGAAAAAATGGTAGAATCGAGATTTTCAAATATACACATGTATATTTACTTAGGAAGTCTGAACACTGCCTAATCGCTGTCTTAGTGTTAACATCTTGAATTTTTGCTTCATCTGGAAGAGTTTCCATGACATAGCCCACCAATCTCAACTTTCCAATGTTATGCTCTTGAATCTTCTATGCCATACTTCAATTATCTCCCAGAGATTTCCCTCTGCTTTTGAAACTTCTACTGTATTGTAAACACTTTAATGTACAGGGATGCCTGGATTACATCTTCCTTTAATTAATGAGAGTCTTCTATGGAGCCCCCACAAAAAAAAAAAAAACTGTCAGCAAATAATATATAAAAGTTTACGTAGTCTTTCATAAATATGCATGCCTAACAAATCGTTACATTATTATTATTATTATTATTAATGCATCAGATTGAAGACCCTTGTGCTTCAGCGTCTTACAGTCTGACTAAAGGACACTACATGTTAGGGTCACCCCACCCTTCCTATAAAGCAGCATCAACTACGATATAGACACTGCCATAACATAAACAGCAAAGTCCCTTCGCTATGTATGTTGTCTTTTCAATGTACTGGAAAAAGAAAAATGAAATAATATTTTTTTTCTTTCTTTTATAATGAGAATGTAAATGTGCTTTTTCATCTTCATTTAACTTTGAAGAAATCACTAAGAGTGTCTTTTCAAGAGTTCCTGGATCGAGATTCTTACCTACAGAAACTAGTACGATATTCCTCGCTTGATACCCAGACCTGGAAACCAGCTTCAGTCAGAGTCATAGCTCCGCAGCAGCCGGGAAGGAAACCGGCGGCCCTAGGACCGCGCGGAAGCCGAGTTTTCTAAGTCCACCGACTCCTCCCGCTCCCGGGAACCCAACCCGCGCCTGGCCACGTGACGCCGCCCGCCCCGCCCCCGGAAGTCCCGTGACCGCGCCGGGGTTGGGGGCGTGTCTCCAGCCCGCTCCGCGTGCTGTTGCCTGAGAGACGCGCGAGTTTCGGTGCGGCGAGCGCGCGGCTGCGGAGGGGAGCGCGCGGCTGCGGAGGAGAGCAACCTCGAGCCGGTCGGCGGCCGGGAGCGGCGCCATGGAGGTGGTGGAGGCCGCCGCGCAGCTG